GCAGGCGACTCGACGGCACATAACAACAAACAACAACTTTGGAGTTTTCTGTGTACACTATCACATCGTCTGCATGTAACACAGTTTAGCCATCTCTTTGCTGATCTGGGTGCCTTTATTTCCTTCTCTTTTCGGATTGTCCTAGCAAGCACTTCCAAGACAATGTTGAAAAGAAGTGGTGACAGTGGACATCCTTGTCTGGTCCCTATTTGCAAGGAAAATAAACAAAACAAAACATTTGTAAGACTAATTAAGTACATAGTAAATACAATGTAACTAAAATTGCTAGACATACAAAATTAACTAAAAATAGAAGGAAGAAAGATTTAGAGGCATGCCAAGGCAAAGGGAGATGTTCTGTCTCTAAAAGAGCATTCTAGAATTTTAGATACTGGCTACAATGTCTAATTAGAAGCAGGAGTGGCATCCCCTTCCTAAACAATATGCCTCTGGAAACTCTATGGACTTTAATAAACGATAATAGTTATAGAAAGGCTTCAGGCCTTTTGTTCATAGAGTCGCTATGAGTCGTGCTTGACTCCGTGGCAATCAACAACAACAACATTTAATTTTATTAGAAAGATTTTAGATATTTATGGTATATATTTTGGAAGGTGCTAAAAAGAAGGAAGTAGAAAATAATGTCAATGAATAATAATTGTTCATTAATAATTCAATTAACTATCAGAATAATTAATACATTCATCGTCTCAGTTAATTAACTCATGAATAATCAATATTTATGTTTCAATTTAATTCTGTGTATGTTAAAATTCTATAAATATCCATTTTATGTAGTTGAGATCAGATTTTTACACATGTAGCCAAACTATGGGTTTTTATTTTCCATTAACTTACAGATTATACTGAGTTTTCATTCAATTGTAGGCTCTTTTAATTACATTAATTACAATTAATTTATCTCATTAGCTTATAACAATGTCTAGTCAACCCCTTGAAGAGATCCATATTTGTTCCATTCCTAAGAAAGGTGAACCAGCAGAATGTGGAAATAATCAAACAATGTAATTAATATCATCCGCAAGCCAAATACTGCTGAGGCTCATAGGCAGGGAACTCCATACATTCAAGCTGAATTTAGATGAGGCTACTGCAACAGGGATATTGCTAGTGTCACATGGATCAGATGGAAAGCAAAGAATGCCAGAAGAATGTAAATTTGTGATTTGTTGACGGAGCAAAGGTATTTGTTATGTGTGGATCATAAATCATGGCTAATGCTGAAAAGAATGGGAATCTGAGAGCATTCAGTTGTGCTTATGTGAAACCTATAAACAGACCAAAAAGCTCTTGTGCAAGCAGAGCAATACGACATGGAATACTACATGGTTTAAAATTAAGTGTGTATCAGGGTATATCCTTTCACCGTATCTATTCAGTATGTATTGTTGTTGTTGTTATGTGCCATCGAGTTGCCTGCCACTCATAGTGACTCTGTGTACAACAGCCCTAAATCCTGTTCTATCCCTTGTCAATCTTATTGTCTCTGACACGCCTATCCCCATTACCACAGTCACTAAACTAATCTATCTCATTGAGGGTCTTCCTCTCCTGTGCTGTCCCTCCACTCTCCCTAGCATGATGTCCCTCTCCAAGGATTGATCTCACCTTGCAACATGTCCACAGTATTATCAGACAAAGTGTCAGAATCCTTGCCTTCAACAAGCAGCCTCTTCAGGACAAACTTGTTTGTTCTCCTAGAAGTCCACGTACTCAGTACTCAGTGCTCTTCTCCAGCACCACAGCTCAAAGGCATCAACTCTCCTTTTGCCATCCCTAGTCATTGTCCAACTCTCTAATGCATAGCAAGTAATTGCAAAGACCATGGCCTTTATCAGGTGCACCTTAGGCTCCAGACTGAATTGTTGCTCTTCAGTACTTTGGAGAGGTCTCTGACAGCAGACTTTCCCAGTGAAATTAGTCTTTTAATTTCCTGGCTGCTGGTACTAAGAGTGTTGATTGTAGAGCCAAACAAACTGAAGCTATTAACAATCTCAATCTCTTTACCATCTATCATGGTGCTGCCAATCAGTCCAGTGGTGAGAATTTTTCTTTTCTTGATGTTGAGCTTCGGTCTATGTGCTGAGCAAATTATTCTAGAGCTCCATGAAAAAGGACGTGACATCAGGATTGAAGGAAGACTCAACAACGTGCATTATACAGCAACCTTGCTTGCTGAAAGTGAGGAGGACAACCTGAAGCACTTGCTTCAGAAGATCAAAGGCTACGACCTTCGATATAGAGCCCATCTCAATGCCAAGAAAACAGAAATTCTTACCACTGAACTGAACTGAAGCAGCAACATGATGGAGAAAAGATTGAAATTGTCGGTGACTTCATCTTACTTAGGTCCACAATCAGTTCCCTTGGTACCACCAGTCAAGAGATCAGGAAACAAATTGCACTGAGAAAGTTTATAGTTGGAGTACTCTCCAGATTACCAAGGAGCAATGATGTCAGTTTGAGGACTAAGGTGTACCTGATGTCAGGACATGGTATTTTTAGTAACTTGCTATACTGCTGAGATCTAGATAATAAATAAAGAAAACAGAAGTATTGATGCCTCTACGTTGTAGTGTTGGTGAAAAGCACTGTGACAGGCAGAATGCTCCTTGGAGGCAAAGATGATAAAGCTTCATCTTATATACTTTAGGCATATTGCTAGAATAGGCAATGTATTGGCAAGGTACATCATCCTTGGAAAGGTAGAGGTTGTGGTGAAAGATAGGAAGAATCTCAACCTAGTGAATTGATACAGTGACTATAGTAATAAGCTCAAGTATGTCAGAGATTGTGAGGATGGCACTGGATAGGGTAGGCTTCAGATGCGTTGTCACTTTGAGTTGTGCTCAACGCAAAGGCACCTAACAACAACACAATCAAATAATTTTTATAGGATAACATCAATGAGTGGAACTTTCTAAAGATTAAGTCCCTGTGTGCATCAAAAACTTTTCCCAACAGGGTGAGAAAACTGACTTGGGGGTAAACTCTCCCCCCAAAAAAGCCCATTTGGCAATGCCAACTCAGAAAAATGTCTCATAATGAGAATCTACAGAGTACTTCCACAAGAAAAAGACTCATAACCCAATTACAAAATGGGCAAAAGATACGAAGATCTTTCACAAAGGAAAGCATTCAGAGGACCAACAGACACATGAATAAAGGTTCAAGGTCATTAGTGATAAGAGAGATACAAAACAAAACCACAATGAGATACCATTTCACCCCAATAACAGTGGTAAAGATTAACAGGACAGGAAGCAATAAATATTGAGAGGATGTGGTAAGATTGGAACTTTCATTCACTGTTGATGGTGCAACCACTCTGGAAGGCAGTTTGGCATTACCTCAAAAAGTTGAACATAGAGATTTCATATGATCCACCTATTCTACTTCTAGTATACTCGAAAGAAAATAGAAGTGAGACATAGAGATTTGTATACCAATGTTCATAACAGTATTATTCATAATAGCAAGAACATGGAGAAAGCCAAAGTGTTTGTCAGCAAACGACCAGATTAAGAACTTGTGGTGCATTCACATAATGGAATACAACGATTTTGAAAAATTTAACATGGGAGAGGCTAGAGAGCTTTATACTGAGTGAAACAAATACTAAATAAGGCCATTATTGTAAAAACTGAAGGATAAGTAGATGTGTATGGCTATCCAAAAGGGAACAGGATGGGACAGAGGAGCTGAGGTTGGAAAGGGGAAGAAATCATTGTGTTGCAGAGTTTGATGGGTGGAGGGAGGTGGGGGGCGGGAAGCCAACCCAAAGCAAAGTACATGAATGAACATGTAAACAAATTATTGAATCCAAATCAATAAAAAAATTAAAAAAACAAAACAATATTTTTATATATTGTGTTTCCTTCAGCAAATTTATTAATTTTTTTCCTCCCCTCTTCCTCCCTTCTTAACACTGTTAACCTTCTAAGATGGATTTTGTTCACATATGAATTTTCCTTTAGTTTTGTATATGAGTCGATTTATGCCTTTTTTTTGTCCTTTAGTAGTTGACTTTTATCACTCAGCATAATATCTTCTAGAGTCACCCACTTTTTGCTGAACTTTACAAATTCTTGATAATTTTCCCAAACTTTGTTTGGTTAATCATGTTGATGTTCTTTCCGTTTGTCAACATTGTAGGTAATAGAAACCTGCCATTGTTTTTGAATGAATTTGGATACCAGAAGAGCAAGGATGCAGAGAAATCTTTACACTCTGTTCAGCATCAAAGAAGACAAGTGATGGCCATCCCACTCATTATTCAGTGTGGTTAGTGATGAATTCCGTTGTAATTAACAAATATTTATGGTATTCTTAAATATGTAAATGCACAAGTCAAGTCCTTCTGTTGAGTGCTGCTGATAAGATCTGTATGTCAGTTTTCACAGAGTAAAAATCTAGGCTTCCAGAGCTCCCTAGGAGATGAAATGGAATAGTGCGAAGGATAAATAAAATATAGTTCTTGTTTTAATCCACCCCGCCCCCCATTACTGACTCATATCTGATGTGGACCCTCCATCAGATTTTAAGAGGCTTTAAATTGCATGAGAAAAAATAGCTCATCTTTCTCCTGCAGCCCAGCTAGTAGATTCCAACCATCAGAGAAGCATGTTCTTGAGGTAAGCTGTGCACCACTACCAAAACACCCTTGCTCTTAAAGAGAGGGCAAAACACAGTAAATTCTGTTAAAGAGGTATAGAGTTCTTTCAGAGTTTTAAGAAAAGTTTTACTCTAGTAGAAGCTATATAAGCCCTTGAGACCTGAATGCTAGCCCTCTTTTGGGGATGTCCCTTTTCCAGCTTCACTGCAATTGATAGTCTACAAACCTCACCTGTCTTTGCAACAGAGGCCTGCCTCACCCATAGACACATGAGTCATTCCCCTGATGGATCTGAGTCTCTGGGAGACCTTCTAGTGAACTGTTGAGCCCACAGGACATAGAGGAGGAGGGTCACTGAATAAAAGAGGTAGTGTTGATATTGGAAATCATGGAGTTATACAGCAAATCAAACATTTGGGACAGTGTGGACTCCATATGTCTTGTAAGTTTGTTACTAATCTTATTGGACAGAATTTTGAATGCACCCATCTTTCTCCTGTGGATCAACTTGGAGATTTGAACCATGAACCTTAGGAGAGGCTGTTCCTTGGAAAGAGAAATCATGCTTGGAAATGTAGAGCATTAATGAAGGCCAGGAAGACCATCAGCTAGATGAACTGACATGCTGACTTCAGCAAATAGCTCAAGTATATCAGAGTTTTAAGGATGACTCAGGGTAGGACAGGAATTAAATTCATAGGCCATAGGGCTACTATGAGGCTATAACAAAATAAGGGAATCCTAAGCACTATTATTAATCTGCTTTCATGGCTGTTGATACAAGAAACAGAGAAGTTTAACTATTTCTACAAGATGATAGATCTAAAAAAAATTTAAAAAAAAAGATGATAGATCTCAAGTGGTGGAAATGAGATACAAAGTCAAAGTTGAAAGAATCCAAGTTGAGGTTCTTAACAACTGTGTTAAAATGACTGTCCCTTGGATGGGAGTATACCTGGAGGTAACTCTGGGTTGAAGAATATGTGAATAGCCTGGAGCGAGTAGTATGGTTTTCTCCTAAAGGAAAATGTATGAAGGGAGAAATGAACAAGGAAGTCAGACACTGCAGGCTGGAGAAGAACAGAAAAGAATACATAACAAGGGAAGTTATAGTTCAGAGAACTTGATTTCCTTTTTATGTTGGTTATGTAGGGAACTCTGGTGGTTTAGTGGTAAGGAATTGTGGTGCCAACTGAAAGACATGGTTCAAATCCACTATCTGCTTCACAAGAGAAAGATAAGCAGTCTCCTCTGTGTGATTTACAGCCTCTGAATACCCACTGGATGATCGGCTATGACTTGATTCTCACTCATGACTCATAACAATTACATGTGGTTGGAGACAAAAAGTGATGATCTCAGCAGAAAAATAATAGATTTTGGAAGGGGAAATATGAAAGATTGATGTCACTGGAGGTATTAATGTAGCAGGAGAGGTTTAAAGGGATCTGTTAGTTAAAATGTTTTTGCCTGAAAGTAGCAGAAACCATCTGAAGGAACTATAATAATTATCATTATGACTGTTTTTATTACAGGGAGCTCTGGTGGCCCTTCCGTAATAAGTGGTAAGGAATAGCACTGTCTGGTAACCTAATGATAAAGAATTGCACTTTCAAACTAAAGACATATGATTTGAATCCATCCGGTGTTCCGTGGGGAAAAAACAGACAATCTCCTCCTATGTGATTTACAGCCTCTGAAAACCCGTTAGAGGGTCAGCTATGAGCCAATTCAAACTCCAGAGTACACAACAGTAATAGTAACATTTTTTTATTGTTTATTTGCAGGACCTCATAAACTCTTAAAATAGTTTTATCTTTAAGCATATCTCTTTACTCAAGGCTTCACTTACCGGGATAGAGTGAAACCTTTGTACTCAATAAATATAAACAGACTTCTTAGTATGATATATTCATTCCTTATTATGGTCTCTTTTTGTGTAATTCTGTTTTGATTGTTAGATATTTGCCTCAAGTGGAGAGTCTTACCTTCCTCTACCAATTATCAAGAAAAAGAGTTTCCTGACATCTGGATTTGTGCTAATAATCCTAACCCCATGGAAAACAGGTAGATTTGACAGTGTTCTATAATCTCTTGTTAAAAAATGCAAAATATTAGCTGTACATAGATTTTAACTGATGAACTTCCATCTTTTAAGATTTTACTAAGCCCTTGTGAAAAGATACTTCATTAGTATATCACCCCCTGCCCCAAACATAATAAAAGAGACCTGGAAGTAATTATTTGTAGACACTGGCATATAAAACCTTTTCACTTCTATTGGTAGAAGACAATGACCTGGTGTTTAATCATTGTGACTTCCAGAGCATTTCACACAGAATACCTCATCACACACACAGCAGTGTTACACAGAGGGTGTCTCCAGGGACATTCATGAGTTAGGCTATGTGTTTTTCCATTTAAGTTATATTGATTTTATTGCTTTATGCTTTGGGGCTGGGGGAAGAAGTTCAGCCTGAAACAGGAAGAAAGACCAATTAAGTATTTATGGATGTCAACATTGTCACTATCCTCTTTGGACTAACATTTTTCCCCAAAGGGAAAAGTGTTTAATGCACCATTAAAAACACCCCAAAAAACAAAACAACCCCCCCAAACAAAACAAAACAAAACAAAACCCCAAAACAACAACAACAACAAACCCCTCCTAAGTCAGACAGAGTTTTCCCAAAGAGTTTGTGTCAAGTGTTTCTTCCAGGATAGGTGGATCAGTATCTCTAATGCAGACATCAGAGGAATCATCTTTTTGTTATTTTTTCCCCCCAACCCAAAAACAGAGTAGCTAAAATACACATGTTAAGAAATTACTGTGAAAACTCCTATTTAGAATCTTGAAATTCTTTTTAGTAAATGGTAGTGGGGTAGTAGGTAAGGACTTGTGCTGCCAACACAAAAGCAGATAGATGATTCAAATCTGCCTGTTGCACCATGGGAGAAAGATAGCTCATCTACCATGCAATTTACAACTTCTGGCAACCTGGTGGAGGTTAATTTATCTATGAGCAGGTTCAAACTTCAATGGCAATGAGGGAGAAGAAATTATCTTTTTTATTATTATTATTAATTTCAATGAACATCTACAAAGATTTTGGAATTCCATTCATTCATTCTTTGCGCTTTTCTCCCCCCCCACCCCCCCCCCAGAGAAGAAATTATCTTTAAAGAATGATTTTTTTTATGGCCTAAGAGTGTTTTCAACTTCACCGATAACATTTATTTCCAGCAGAAACCCTTTTTCTACCGCTTTATTTACTTTACAAGTAAAATGTGCATTGGAATAAGATAGATAAATGTAGAACTTTCCTGGTTGATTTGGACACTGGAAACCGTCCTACTTACTTCCCATTTCTTTTCCCCTATCCACTGCCTTCCAGTTAATTACAATTTCTGGTGACTCTCCATCAGATTTCCTAGGCCATGAGTCTTTACAGGAGGAGGTCGCTTGTCTTTCTCTAGTGGAGAGGCTGGTGGATTTGAACCAACCATTGGGTTTGTGATTAACATTCCAACATATTAGAAAAAAAACACCCCCAGGGATCCTTCTGTTTCCTCTCAAAAAGCTCACTACTGTCAAATACACAAAGGAGCTAATGAATTTGAGTGGCTGACTTTTTTGCTTAGTAGCTTTGCACATCAAACACTATACAACTAGGCCTCCTTTCTGCTCCTTATTGTTGTTATGTGCTGTCAAGTCACGGGTGGCTCATAGAGACCGTATGTGCAACAGTTCTGAACCCTGTTCAATCTTGAATTAATTTCATAGTCTCTGACACACCTAACCCCCTTACCTCAGTCACTGAAGCAATCCATCTCATCCAAGCCCTTGCTCTTTTGCACTGTCCCTTTAACCTTTGAAACATGGTGTCCTTACTCACTGTAAAATACCTAAAGCTCCAAGGAGCATAAAAAACAACCAAAAAACTTCTCAAGTCTGCCATCAGAGGAAAACTCATCAATAACCTGCGTTATACAGACGTTGCAACCTTTTTTGCTCAAAATGAGGAGGACTCGAAGAACTTGTTGCAGAAATTTGTTTGTTGTAAGGTGTGTCAGATTGAGGTCATGGTCTTTGATTACTTGCAATGCATCTGAGATCTGGACAGTGAATAAGGATGACAAAAGAAGAATTGATGTCTTCGAGTTAGGGCATAGAAGAGTATTGTCTATCTCATAGACTGACAAAAGAACAGATAAGTTTTAGAGACTTGAAGGCAACTAACAACAACAATCTGAATCTTGATGGCTTTTATATATTTTATTGTATTTGAATCTTCATATTAAAGAAGAGAATTTAAAGCCCAGCCAAGGGTTAAGAATTCACTTACGGAAGACTTGGAACATCGTCTGAGTCTTAAACTTATTCTGGTATGATTTGAAATTATATGAGCCAGATTGCCTAAATTTGACTTCTGATTCCACTAGCTATGAGATCTTGAGGAAATGATAAGATCTCTCTGAGCTAGGGTATAATAATACTTTGATGCATATTATCTAGATCCAGCTGGTCTTGTAAATTCTAACTACTGAGTTTCCCCCGATCACTGGGGCTGCTAGCAACAAAGAATGAGAATCAGGACACTCTTCAAAGACCTGCCTATATACCTATGATTTCGTAGACATTGGCAGACTCACAGAACTGGGTGGCATTCCATGACAATTTCCCTTCTCTTAAAATTATCATTGTCTCTGAACTGGTCTGTTCTTACTCTCTTTTCATTGAACATGATGTCATCACAGAGCACTATAAAATTAGCTTCGAAGCGGCATTACTCTATTTCCTTTAGACATCAAAACAGGGTCACTTGTCATGAGAGACAAGATAATTTTAGTCTTGCTGACAGGAAACTGATGAATTTTTAAAGCCTAAAATGTAAAAATCTTCTTATATTTAGAATTTTTTTAAATTCTTAGTTCTTTAAATATACAAACATATTATTGAGCATCTGTATTTCCACTGAAATGATTATGAGGAGAAATAAGCTTAAAATGATAGCAAGATATTTGAGTGAAATATAAAGAAACACTCTTGATTACAAGGGCAGTTGATCAGGTGTTAGTATCTCTTTTACTGGAAATCATTGACAGTATTGTAGATGACACCTAGCAGAAGAGAAAATGATCTGGTGACCCCGGATGAGTTTTCTGATTCAATGTGGTAGGATGGGAAATGCATATCTTCTGAATATTCCTTGAAATAAATTCTTTTTAGATAGACTGATACATATGCCCTATTGGATTTGGATAAAATAAAATGGAATTAGTGGGTTACAGGGAGAGGAGGTCCAATTCTTTATTTAAACAACATTCAGTGATGAAAAGGACAGAAGAATGAGGCGTTATATGTAAGTAGAACGGTTTACTATCAGCAGGTTTAATGCTAGGAAATAACATTTGAATGAACGCTGTAAAGGGAGCCAAACTTTGAGGAAGGACAATAGCGTTCTCACACATTGCAAGTTTTAAGAACTTTCTCAAAGGGCAAAATAGAAAAGCTGAGACAGATTTCAGAACTTGTTCAAGGTTCTTTTCTAGAGTTAAAACTTAAGTGTTTTGTTGCAAAATAGAGAGTCATTTTGCTTTATGAAATAATTTCTCTGAAGATCTTTTATATTTCAGTGGAGTCTAGTTCTATCCAAATACAAAGGTTTGGTCACCTTTTTTAAAAAGTACTTACTTTTTTAATCCTTTCTTCTTTAAAGAGATGGTAATAGTATGTAGTGTGAAAGACTGAGACAGAGTAAAATGTAAGCCATTGTTTTTCAGGCCACTTAAGCATCTTTTTTTTTTTAATTGTAGTTTTTTCAATAGTTTTTAGAGCATTTTTTCCACTCAATAATTTATAAACTTTCATGAAAAACCTAACACTGGTTACAATCTCCTGAAAGTATCAGTACTCTTCCCATTTCCTCCTGAGGTTACTCATTTACATGTGTCCTTCATACTTACCTTCTGAGCTTTGTTTTATGCAAATGAAGGTCTTTTGTTCACAAATAACTGATTGTATTAATGAGTACATCTCCCCCCTAGTGCTCACATTGTAGGGTGGTCTGTTTTTTGACTGAAAGTTGATCCTCAGTGGTAAGTTCATTTCCATGTTTGAAGGATGTCTAAGAGCCACAGTCTTAGTGGTTCTGCCATCTCAATTGGATCTGTAGGTCTGGTTGTTTTTATTATTTTGAGCTTTTCCCCTGTTCCTCTTTCCAAGAACACCTATTTTGGTCCTGATCAGAGTAGTTGATAGTTGCAGACAGGTGCCATCTAGCTTTGGCCTCAACATAATGGAGGTTGTGGTTCCATGGTTCATTTGTCCTTTAGATTCATTGCTTCCTTGAATCTTGTAATGATCTTCGTTCTTCTTTGTAAAGCTTCTTTTTGTTTTTCTTTTAAACACAAAAGAATATCAGGTCTTTTATTTCTCATATCGCCTGAGAAATGTGGCCAAAAAATTTAAGAAAAATACTTTAAAAATCCGTTTCTTATCAGTCAATATCTCATATTTTGTTAATTTGTAGTTCTTGTAATGCTGGATGCTGTGGCACTAACATTGCAAATATCTGTCACATCACTCATGGTGGGCAGGTTTAACCAGAGCTTCCAAACTAAAATGTTCTGGGGAAAAGGATCTGGTGATCTGCTTGTAAAAAAATTGGCCAGTGAAATCTGATGTAGTGCCCAGCAGATGACTGCCTCATGTTAAGAAGGCATTTAAAATTAGGCAATAGCTTTCTCCTCAAAAACTTGAGTCTGCATGAATGATATGAATTAAGTAAAGCTTTTTTTGAACTTCATTTGCTGATGAGTCTTCATTTGCAGATGTGATATGACTCAAACTGAGAAAAAAAAATAGCATCTATTAATAGATGGATGTGGCAAGAACAAAAACTATCTCTTCTTGACATGTTCAGAGTGTATGAGGTGAAGTTTCCCAATTGATTTTGAAAAAATGCTTTGCAAACTTTCATTCAAACTATAAAAAATTAAAAAATAAACATAAAAATATTCTTAAATTCATGAAGAGAAATCCTAAAGGTGAATGAACTGAAGCA